TAATATGTGAACGTTACCATACCCAATGGCCAACACATCGATAATTTTATCCAGTTATAACTATTTTGTTTGAATTGAAAGAGCACAGAGTAGTGCTCAATTAATTTTTCCAATGTGCGAGCCCTCTCAGTTATTCGATATCAGATACTCAAATAATTCACATTAGCAACTCTTTTTAACATACTAAAAGCTTTTTCGTCTGAATCTCTTTAGAGTTAAAAACGTAAGAATAAGGGTCGGAAAGAACAAGATGGAGAATAAATACCCATTTGTGGATCGAATTCTCCATCTTGTTCTTTTGGACCTTTATTCTAACGTTATATGCTCTGAAAAGTTTCAGACGAAAAAGATTTAATATGTTTAAAATTTTTTGCTATTTTCAAAGCCATTTTCAAAACAAAATATGTTTTTCTCAAGGTTTTCAAAAATCTTGCAGAAACTGCTGATAAAAATGCTTTGTTTTCAATGAATTTTCTAAACTTTTCATGAAAACGTACTTTAGACAGGAGGTCAATTTAAGATTGTAATCAGTTATAGTTTTATCCGAAATTTAGTTGCCTTCTGAAAGAAAGTTTTTGAAAAAATAACTTGGGGCAAAGGGCGCACCGGGAAATTTCCCGGTGTCCCGGTGGGCCAGTCCGCTTCTGCTAACACGGAGAACATTTAAACTGGATCTGGTCCACTTTTGGCAATAAAGACCCTGCATTTTTACGGAATCTTGTCGACCCGATCCACTTTTGCTTCCGAGGGGGTTCCAGTTTAGATCGGATCCACTTTGCTTTGTGTAAACGAGTGGTATGACGAATCTAGGGGCAAATCTCTCTTGAAAATGGTGTACGAGATTGATAATGACTAGTGATTAATTTGCGATTAAATCAATTTTATGTGTGATTAATTTGATTTTTAGTGATTATTTTGTGGTTAATTTGTGATCAATTTGTGATTATTTAGAAATTGAATCATAGATTCAAAAGTGCTCTCAAATAATTTCATGCGCATAAACGTCGTTACCCTGGGTGCCAGAGCCTCAGAGAGTCAAAGGATGATGAAGAACGGGGGAAGGAATTGCGAAGGAACGTCGTTTGAACACGTGACTGTAAAGCAATTTATAGATTAAATTAAACAAAAATATTTCATAAATTAAATGACAACCTATCATGCAAGTTTAGCAAAGATTTTCCAACATATCATATTAAATTCAAAAAGAAAAATTAGCAGTTCAGGGAGGGGGGTGAATTCAGAGATAAATTTGACCGTTGCAAATTTGCAAAAGAAAAAAGGTGCAAAAGTTTAATAACATTGAAAACAAAAAACAGAGTTATATTTTATGAACAGCAGCATAAGCAAGTATTAAAGCAATATGATATATGATGGGTTTTCTACATCATGGATGCAAGGTGACATTGGCCTGAAGTGAAAAACAGTGAACAGTTGTTGAACACCTTGCAAAAGACATTAAGACAAATGCATGTGCTCTTTTCTGTGGGCCGTCAACTTCCGTCATAAGAATTTGAATTTGCATCAAAACAGTGAACAGTTGTTGAACATCTTGTAAAAGACATTAAGGCAAATGCATGTTTTCTGTGCTGTGGGCGGCTATTTTGTCATATGAATTTGAATATGCTTCAAAAAAGCTATCTTTCTTGAACAATAGCTGTAGCAACATGGATGCAAATAGACTGAAATGAAATAAAGTGAACAGTTGTTGAACACCTCGTGAAAGACATTATGCATGTGCTCTGTTCTCTGCCCCTCGCAAATGAATTCGCTATTGCAAATTTAACTGTCATTCCTGAAACTTTTACCGAGGGCAAAAAATTACAAGTTCCGGAATTATGGAACTTGATTATCAAATTTTATTTGGGAAAATTACAAGAATCTGACATAAATAACTTCCCATGAATGTAACAGTTGCAACTGCAACAGCCGGAACTGTCTGGATCCTCCTGCAGCAATCAACAAAAATGAGTGAAAAATGGCTGCTATTAGGGGTGTTTCTTGCTCAGATCAACATCAGTGGCATTTGGGCATTTGGGCAACATCAGTAGCAATGGTTAATTCAGTGACCAAGGCATCATAACGAGGCCTTAATTTTTGCTCCATCGCAGGGTACTTAGAAAAATGTGTTCTCGAGCGTGCTTTTGCAGATTTTCGAACGTGTTCATTAAAAGTGTGAAAGGGAGATTCTCAATATTACACTTCTCAATAACATATGCGAATAATTTCAATTTGCATTAAAAGAGCTATCTTTCCTGAACTTTAGCAATAGCAACATGGAAGCAAATAGCCTGGAATGAAAAACAGTGAACAGTTCTCAAACACCTTGCAAAAGACATTAAGACAAATACATGTTTTCTGTTGTGTGGGCCATCTACGCTCTTTGTTAGAATTTCAATTTGCATTAAAAGAGCTATCTTTCCTTAACTTTAGCAATAGCAACATGGAAGCAAATAGCCTGGAATGAAAAACAGTGAACAGTTCTCAAACACCTTGCAAAAGACATTAAGACAAATGCATGTTTTCTGTTGTGTGGGCCATCTACGCTCTTTGTTAGAATTTCAATTTGCATTAAAAGAGCTATCTTTCCTGAACTTTAGCAATAGCAACATGGAAGCAAATAGCCTGGAATGAAAAACAGTGAACAGTTCTCAAACACCTTGCAAAAGACATTAAGACAAATGCATGTTTTCTGTTGTGTGGGCCATCTACGCTCTTTGTTAGAATTTCAATTTGTATTAAAAGAGCTATCTTTCCTGTACAGTAGCATTAATAACATGGATGGAAATAGCTTTGGATGAAAAACAGTAAACAGTTGTTGAACACCATGTGAAAGACATTAAGATAAATGCACGTGCTCTGTTCTCTGCCCCTCGCAAATGATATCGCTATTGCAAATTTAACTGTCATTCCTGAAACTTTCACCGAGGGCAAAAAATTACAAGTTCCGGAATTATGGAACTTGATTATCAAACTTTATTTGGGAAAATTACAAGAATCTGACATAAATAACTTCCCATGAATGTAACAGTTGCAACTGCAACAGCCGGAACTGTCTGGATCCTCCTGCAGCAATCAACAAAAATGAGTGAAAAATGACTGCTATCAGGGTTGTTTCTTGCTCAGATCAACACTAGTGGCATTTGGGCAGCAAAACCATCAATGGTTGATTCAGTGGCCACGGCATCATAACGAGGCCTTAATTTTTGCATCATAGCGAGGCCCAATCGATCTTCTTCACAATATGACAATTAACCGTTGCAACTATCTGTCCTGTTTCTTCAACTCCCCTTGTTTCCTTGAAAGAGTTATTACCTTACTTTCAATCAAAGATCGTGCTCTAACTGTGAAACATCTGCTTTTAATCTTCAAAATTCATTTTATGGTTCTTGGAGGTCTGTAAATGATTCGAATAATTCCTTCTGGTACCTTCAAGAATCACTCAAATAATGCTTTAATACTTGTCACCTTATGACTAGGACCGCTTCTAGTTAAAGACAATTATAATTGAAGGCAACGATATTATCAGAAGCCTGACATTATTTTTTCTTGCTCTCTGTTAAAAGAAATTTGAAGGTTTTCTTGAAATTCATCGATCTTCCTATCACAGCCCTCCTCGGGTTTTTTGTATGTCCGTCTGTTCTTAGAATTCGCAGGCACCCCCCCCCTTTTCTCTTACTTCACTTTTGAAAGATTGTGACGGTATGCGAACTTGGCATTCCACGTGCTGGCGAAGTCTACTTCTTAAATTATCTGACTGTAATCTTTTTACTGACCAGTTTAATTTTCAGGTTGGCGCCACCTTATTGCTAAGAAATTGCGGTGGTTATTCTCAAGCTGCTACAGCTATCAGTTAGGCGCGATGCTTCTGCGTAGGAGGGAATTGACTATTTTCCTGTGGATGCAAAACACAGGTTCCATTCTTTCCTCTAAGATCCGTTTGCTTTATTTAAGTTGTACCCTGACCAGACGAATTCCATTCTCTGCTATACGACATGAACTAACATGAACGTGTAAAAAAATAATGCAGCGGACAACATATCAAGAGCTATGCTATTGATGACTCCACTACCAGAACAAAATAATGGCGACACCTGTGAAAGCTCCCCCTTCCATTTCATTGGAAACAAGAAATATTAGCTTATATCAAAGTTAGATCTTTGTTCAGGCCGAGGAAGGACATAGAGCTAACCGATCTTCAGGTAAATTTGAGTAGAAATGGCCTTATAAAGGGAATACATCGCTTTTTATGAAAACTACTGCTTCCCTCATTCCACTAGCATTGATTTGGTTCTATTAAAAAGGATGTTTTGCATTATTTTGACATATCTCACTACATTAACTCGCATGTTGCTAGTTGCCGTTTTACAAAATTCATATAGTCCTAACTGTACCAAAAAAACTACCCAAGTTGAGTTAGAGAATTTTGGGGCTAAAAGTGTCCGGAATAATGACTTCATTTGTTGTTTCCTGAACTCTCTCTGTTTTGCTATCATTTTCTATAAAAAGTTTTAAAATCATTTGAATTGAGTTTTATCACTCGCTTCTCATCCTGTAAGTATTTTGATTTTACCACTAGTTATTTTTTCTTATAACTACATAATTTCTTACGTTAAAATGGTAATATTCTACACATTTTGAAAATCTCATTTAATTTCAAAGAATTTGACTACTGGTTTAGCATTATTATCTTCTCTTTTAAGGGGAATATTTCAGTGTAAAGTGATAAGTTTGCAGAGCTTCAAATTTTTTTCATGTCATTTTGATTTGATTTGTTTGTCTTGGCAGTGTAGAATTGCCAATTCTGCTTTTTAACAGATGAAATATTCATTCATCCACTACCACTTTGTCCAAACTGACTGAAGAAATGTTGAGAAAACGGGCAAAAAAAGCATGCAGAAAGATTGAAGTTGTTAAAGCATATTTATTTTTGGAGAAGAAATCACACACGAAATCTGTCCCTGTGATAACGTATTAATAAGGGCTTGATTATGAAATTTGATTTATTCAAAATAGAGAGCAAAAACTGAGGCGACAACAAATAGTTCTTTATTTGAGAAAGAAGCATTTATCCAATTGTCTCTTCTGGCATCCCACAAGTACCTACTCGCAACTTTGATTCCATGATTTCCATTTTGTCCTATGATCACATTGCAGACATATTTAAATCTCTCAAATCCAAGGGTTTTCATTCTATCTTTGATAATCGTACTGACTCTCTTTGCCAAAATTCCGGATTTCGTTGGGTCATATTCTGCGTCAGAAAAGTTTTCTTCTAAGATCTTATCCAATAAATCTTTGGCTTTTTTTAGATCAAACCTTTTGTCTGGCTCCATTTTGTATGTGTTTTCGAAGAGGACTTTTTGTGGCTTTGGAGGCAACATGCTATTTCGCGGATCAAGCATACATGATATGGAGCTTCGGCCTGCATCGCGAGCATGATGCTCTACGCTAAAGATGCTACTTCTTCTCGTCCTTTGATGCGCTATCGGTTCAGCATCCATTTTTCACAGCTGTTGAAAATTTAGCCAATCTTTGGTATTGCTAGGCTGAAACACAAAATCGTCTTCAACAGTCTCTGTTTCGAATGCTTGCGTGATTTCTGCTACATCAACATTTCGCGCGAAATCTGTGACGTAGTTTTGGAATGTATAACGACATAATGTCTTTGCTACGTCCTTGCCATGGCTTGTTGTTATCCCATTTTTGCATGAATTTTCCATTCTTTAAATACGGGGGTCGCCAGATGTGTAAAAAAGTGTAAATAACTTTTTTCAAGAACATAGACAGTGCTATTTTTAAACAAAGGGTTTTAAACATTGGTTAGCATAAGAGTCAAATCTGACAGCCTTACAACACAATCTTCAATGAGTAAAACTGACTCCAATTAACGACAGAAATAGGAAAATAGTTTTACTCACCATTATTCTACATTTTAAAACGTCAGCCTTCTATTAATTGTTACATTTTAATTTTTGGACAATGTAATTCAAGAAGGAAAACAGGTAAGGCCCATGCTGTTTAAGTAAACATTTAACTCCGAGTAAAAGTTTAATTGAGGGGTTTAGTTGAGTGTTTTTTGGATGTACCAAATAACTATAACTGGATCTTATGCTCGTATGCTCACGTTATAATTTCACATTTTTTGTCTTTATTGGCAAAAATTATAAGTTTAGACTAAATTCCAAGTAGAAAATCGACTGTTAAAATTAAAAGAAATATCAGGATCAAATATTTCAAAATATTAATTTTTGGCTATGTTTTCTTCTTGGCCCAATACATAAATATCTTTTCTGGACACTTACTTTTTTATTGTTATAAGTCATAGTGACTAGTTTTCATAAATCATGACACAGGAGCACCGCAGGATTCAAAGAATCCTACCCAAGTCGGAGCAAATATGATCTAAAAGTATTTATCTTAAGTCAGTCCCAGCGCCCCCCATTTATCCTAAGTCAGCCCCAACGCCCCCCCCCCCAATGGCAAGAATCTCTTTTAAAAAGGGCATTTTCTGGCTTCAATAGGGTGTAAACCCACAAATTTTTCTTACTCAACTCGTCTTTGCCCCTCAATCATACCACCCTGACTACGCTACTGAACAGAAACAAGATTAAAAATTAAACAGCCAAATTTAATGAGCAATCCTGAAATTATGACATGAGCAATTCCAATGAAAGCTAATTGATTGTCTCTGAAAAATTTTTCTCCGTAAATCAAGTACTTTTCTTAATATTTAATGAAAAACGTTTGGATTCATTTCATCCATGGGTGCTCATTAAGTCGACTTACATACATGTTTATTGTTTCGTATGATTTTGCATACAAGAATGAGGCTACCGAAAAAACGGTTCCGCTTAATATATGAAAGATTTTGCTTTTCAAATGGAAAATTTCTTCCCAAGGTGCTCTTATTGTTTATTATGCAACATTTATAAGAAAGAAAGACGAAGATAAATGACATTACCAAGTTTCAGGTAAACTTTCTCCAAAATGTCTGTCACTAAGCCAAAATTGATTTGTTAACTTTAATAAGTTTTAAATATAGCAGTTTTAAAACTTTAATAAATGTCTTATTTTTCATGCTGGCGGGCTCTCTCTCACCTGGCAAATTTCTCTCGGGCATACTCTCGCATACTCTCGGGCAAATTTCAAGTAGTTTAGTACATTTGGAACAAAATCTATAATTTAGCAATTGAAAATGTGCTCTGTTGGCAGTATTAACCCCCTGAACAAACTAAACATTTTCTGTTTAAAATTGAATATTTCATTCGTAAGTACTCTTAATCGAATAATTTTGTATATCAACTATGTGGTGCTATGTTTACCAACCTGTGAATTATCTAAAAGATTTGCTTGAAAGAAAGCTCACAATAAATCTTGAAATATTTCCTCCCACTTGTTATTGGAAAATTTATAAACATGATTTCTAAACTCACGACAGCCAATTAAAAGCTCAAAGCCGATTTGGTACAGTCGTAAATAAACTCACTTGGAAAAAGCAATTAAAAGCTTGCAGGCTCTTGCTGATGGAATTCCTTTTAACTGTGCCAAAATTGTGGTTTATTTTCTTATCACTTAACATACTGTATGTTATTACGATTTTTCAACGATACAATTGCATGGAAGAGCATTTTTGATATCATTGCAATTGCAATTTATATACACTTAAAGTCAGGAGTTTGAAATGAACATTGTAAAATTCTCAAAATTCAAATGATTGCATGGGGATGGTTGCATGGAATTGGGTGCATGGGAATGATACAAATACTGCAGCAGTACCCCCATTTTTGAGAAAAGGTTTTATGTTTTTGTATCGCGCCTGGCTGGTGGATGGCATCCATGAATTTCGAATCAAGTGGACGGGGCACTGAATATATTTGAAAAATTGTATAAGCACACGATGTCACCATGTTGTAAATGCAAACAGTGAAAATGTGTACGGATCACATTGTGTTGGAATGTACGTTGGTTTTTGAAAACTAAGTTAAGCAATGTACACAAAATATTTACCCGGGGAGATGAAGAATTGGAAAATGCGGTCGGATAATGCTTATTGACTTCTTTAAAATTTTGCCTTTAATAACAACAGTCAAAAAATTGGATAAAAGTACCGACTTGGGCTGAATAAGAAATAGGATATCAAGAATTAAGACAAGGCATGTGTTTCTGCTGATGTTTTTTAATGCATTGAGACATCCGCTCCAAAAATTGTTCGTTCAGTACCCTGGGTACCAGACTCACTATATATGAAATAAAATAGAGAGTCTGGTCTAGTGCGCCCCATTCTCGTTCTGGTGTGCTGATATTAACCAATCAGGAGCGAGTGTACAGATTTCTGTACGTTCAAAGGTCACAGCGAAACAATAAACTTAGCTCTGGTATAAAACATTGAACAGAACAGAACATAAATAAAAGCTAGCGATCGTAACGATTGAGTTTGAAGATGCTGTTAAAACTGTACTCAAAGAATATTTTCCGCATGTTGTGGAACTGATCACAGAACAGCATTGAAAGCCTTGTTTGTAGAGAGAAGAGACACCTTCGCCATATTGCCAACTGGCTTTGGAAAGTCTCTGATATTCTAGGATGTGCCTCTCGTTGCAAAGAAATTAGGCCTTGTAGTGAAATGCAGTAGATAAGAAACACCGCAAGGCGCCGAGAAAAAACAACAACAAACATAAGTAAATCAGTTATAGCTAATATTTCGCCCGGCATACGGGGCTTCGCTTGTCATATTGCCCATATTTGCTGTGGTAACCTTCCAACGTGATGATTCTAACCGCCGCGGTGTCCAAGCGCGCTGCCTTCACAGTTAGGAAGTAGACGTTGAAAGTACACAAAATTTATGAGGAAAATTACAAAAGACTATGATTAACAATTTAATAATGATTAACATTTAATAACTGCACTTTGCTAACTTTAATTTCATGCTTCGCACATGTTTTTTGCTGCCAAATGGCGTTTTGAACCTGATTTGATTGTTATCTTGAGGCAGAAAAGTCTATTACCACTGTATTAAAAATGTCGATTTTGAAGAACTAAATAAAACACATTTGCTTTAAGATTTCCCAAAACTCCTCTGACTACTGAGTTTCTTTATTATTTATCTGACAGTCTTGTTTCACAGGCCTAGTCTGTTAAATAGACTTCAATTCTTTCAAGTAAGTTCACCAGAACGAGAATGGGGCGCACTAGACCAGACTCTCTATTATTTTATCTAGTGAGTCTGGTACCCAGGGTATTCGTTCAGCTACTTCGAAAGTAAAAGAATGGTTATATTAGTTACCTAGCAAACAATTTTTAGAATGCTGTCAGCCAATCGGAAAGCAACATATCCAATCGATTAATGATTATGCTCTTTAAGAAACTTTTGTAGTGTTTCCACAGTTCATTTGGAAAATCGGAAAATCATAAAATTGGTTTGTAAAGACATCCATTTAATTCCTATTTTCTCACCTATGAACCAATAAATTATGCCCCAATGAATTATGCCCACTTTAATTAAAAAAACAGTTTGAAAAGGAGACAATGCATTTTCTGGCAATACGTGACTTGAAGACATCATTCTTGAATTTTACTTTATCAAAGATTCTCGAGGGCAAGGAAATTGAAAATGCGCGAAATAAATCCGCAGGAATTGTCTCGTTTTCATGAAGTGCTAACCTCGTTAATAGTCAGATATTAGTAATGGCCGTCGAGTGATACAAAAAGGGGAAATTTGGTTATTCTGTGGATCACGATTAAATACGTCAATAATGTCGTTTAAATTGACTGATGAGAAAGGCGCTTCACATAACAAGCTTAACAACAGACGAAGGGTCGATGATTTGCTTCTTGAGTCCATTCCAGCTACGGAATATTTGGTGAATCGTAGTGGGAAGTACTGCTGTAAAGTGTGTCCCCATTGGCCTGTGTTTGATACACTTGCTATGTTGAAAAGCCACAGAGACAGTCGGAAACATAAGCACAACAGTGATGAATGGAGCAAAGCCACCATGAAAAAACAACTGGAACAAGTAGCTAATCAAATTCTTCCGTCAAATACTGAAGATGTTACAAAATTGGCTGAAAGGGCACTAAGCAGCCATTTGGCTTGCCAGTTTGACGATAATTTGGTGGAAAAAGCACATAAAAATAAAAGGAAAACCTTGTCAAGCTGTTCATGTGATGTAGATGATGCTACAGGTGCTTCAGGCAAGAGGCAAAGAAAAGCAGCTCCATTCTTTCAACCTAATTATAGACATATTTGCAACTGTAAAAATGAAAAGAAAGGAAATAGCTTAAGAAAGGATATAAGTTCAAGCCAATGCGGTGAAGAAATTGATGCAGAAAGAACTGAAGTAAAAAAAAACCAAAACAATAAAATAAATACTAATTATCCTACTACAAGAGTAGATTCCAAAATGGATCATATAGTTAAAACTACTGCATCATCGTCACAAACTATTGGAGAACAAGAAATGAATCTGATGAAATATTATGCAAAAATGAAACAGAATGGATGGATACTGAGTAATGGAGAATGGACCAAAGATGAGGAATGTGAATTTGATTCAGATGATGAACCACCCAAATTTGAGGAAGTTTCAAAATGGAACAAATAATCCATGTAAACTGTTTATAACTAATTTTTCATTGCTTTGCCTGCTGCAAACTTTTTTCAAAAAAATAAACCAAAATTTACCTTGCTAATACATCTGAACACCTTTCATGAAAGTTATTAACTTTTTCTCATATGTTAAATCAGATTGGATGTTATGGCCCCTGGTCTTAAGCTTTCGATTTAATAGAAAAGTTTCCTTGAAAACATATTGTCCAAAAAACTATTCCTTGCTTAAGTGAAGTGGTAAGGCCTAGGTCAACTAAGTTAACAGGTTGGAGCTCAGGTAGAAGTTATTAAAGCAAAAAACCTAATAAGATAGGTATATACCCAATTCTAATTTTTTCTATTGACATTTATTTCCAGCATTACTGAATGGTTTTTATAAGAAATGCCCCTAATATATCAGTGGAAAATTTTGCATCAAGAGGGTAGCTAGATTTAACATGTCTCGGGTGGAAATTTTCTCCAAAATTGATAAGCAGCCCAATTATTTTGGACTCAAGAGCAGATAGGGTTTTGTAGCTGTACAATAGTTGTGGCACTTTGAGGCTACGGATTGCTGATTCTATTACATCGCTACTTATTCTATTACATCACTGCTTATGTTGATCTTATTGCTTTTTGCCTATTTATCAGGTAATGCAAAGGTCAGCTATTTGGAAGTTTATTTATATAACTAAAAAGAAATGCAACTTTATGTCCTCCATGAAGAACCAATGTGAAGAGAATTGAAGAAAAAATGAAGAGAAGTGGTCATTGCTTAAGATTTATCCTGGGACCTGAGGTGAGTTGCACTCACATTACCAGTGATCCTTGATTAAAAAGTGACCATTTTTTTTACATGCAACATATTTTATCTTAACATGTTCCATTTTGTGTGTAATGTGTAGAACTACATGCCAAAAGCTGCATTGTAGCATATTGTCAATTTATGCTGATTTTATGATACTCAAGGTCATGTCACACCTTCAAATTATTTCCAATCTCCAAAAAATAAGCTTCGATTTGATATATGGTGGTTTCACCCCCCCTCCCCCCGAATGTAATAATCTACCATTTTCAGCTACTCGGCTCATGGCCTGACATTCATAAAGTTATTCATAAAGATTGTGCATACAGTCCTAGGAATGTTAAACTACAAATCCTATCTGAAACCATGGAAAACCCACTTGCTTTCAAAATCAAAATCCGCGAGGCCATTGTTGAAGAAAGCTCTGAAGAAAAACTGCTAGGGGTGAAAATAGATAAAAATCTTAATTTCAAAAGTCACGTCTCAAATTTATGCAAAAGAGCCAGCCAAAAAATGTATGCTCTTGCTAGAGTATCGCCATTTATGGGTTCTGATAAACTGCGTCTCCTAATGAACAGTTTCATAAAAGCTCAGTTTAGCTACTGCCCCCTAATTTGGATGTTCCATGACAGATGTCTGAATGCTAAAGTAAATAAAATCCACGAAAGAGCACTCAGAATTGTTTATAAAGACAGTCATGCTGATTACAAAGCAGTATCAATTCACCAACGCAATCTACAGTACTTGATGGTAGAAATATACAAAACCAAACATAACCTGAACCCTAGTTTCATGAGTGAGATTTTTGAAACAAGAAATGTACATTATGATTTGCGAACTAAAAATAATCTTTGCATTCCAAATGCCAGGACAACTTTTTATGGTATAGAATCTGTGAGATATTTAGGTCAAAAATTGTATCATATATTTATTTAATCAGGCCTTGCTCTAAGTAAAATGAAGGTGTTCCATAAAAAGAGCCCCTTAGAAACTCTAGGCGCTCTATTTCGCACCTCTAAGTGAATGTCCTTGAGAGCATCCTTCGAGAGCTTTAGGAGATCGAGAGATTCAAATCGAAAGCTTCGGAAGAATGTTGAATTTAAAATTCAACGGTGATACCACAAAGCACCATAATATGAAATAACAAATATGCAACAAACACTATGTTAATATAAATATAGAAATATAATAAAACAAAATCGCAAAATTGTTCAGATTTTTCTAGATATGTAAGTTGCCATCATTCGATGAGCTTTTAACAGTGTCAGTATCACTACTGTTATGTTTAGCTTCACATATTGCTTCATCAAAACGCATGGCTTTAAATCGAACATTTAACTTTGTTTCCTTTTTTCATGTTATCCATTCTATAAGAAACGCTAGAACATCTACTACTCGCAAAAGCAAATGAAAAATGAAAAGCAATGCGATAATTTGGACGGAAACGTGATCGCTGATTTGCAGAGGCGATTTTAAGTTATTAAAAAAAAGAAAATAATATATACTTCAATAGAAGATTAACGCTTGCTCGAAAATCAAATAAATCTGCCGGAGAATATGCTTGCTTGATGGCCTGTATCCTTGATGGTTATTAGAGGGTTTTCAGATTAAAAATGATATCGAAAACCCAACGTTGAATTTGCTGAATTTTTTCTCAAGGGGTAATCTTACGCAAATCATAATATTGCGGTCTGTTGGGAAGATTGTTTATGCTTGATCAAGTTGATTTAATAAATTCCAAAAATTTATTTTGCTCCGCGTTAATATTGTTTTTACGTTTTGAGGGGCTCTATAAATCACTCTCCAAGGCTTTTTTTGGGTGCGCTCTAGGCGCGCGCGCTCGATCGAGCGCCTTTCCGGGCAAGGCCTGATTTAATACTAATTCTTTATAGATAATTGGCCTTAATAAGCCTCTTTATAGCTATCAGACGTTCATTTAGTACGCCAACTTTAAACAAATTATTTATTATTATTATATATCATCATTATAGACTATGATTATAATTACTGACGGGTGATGTACTCTATTTGAATCAAGGATTCTATGCATTTAAATTTTGCACAATAACAGCAAAACAATAGTAGAAAATAATAATCATAGTCTAACACTTCTAGCAATATTGCCGAACGAAACCAATATATGCAAAATTCTGAAATTGGGCCAAAAAAAAATCAAGAATTCAGCCTGCTAGTTCTGTTATTGTATGTGTCACCTTTTTATTGGTCTAGGTTAGTATCTTGGCTACAATTTAGTAACCTGCAAACTTATTCACACTAAGATATCAAAAATAAACTTAAAATGACACAGATTCTTTAGTCTGTACCAAAAATTTTAATTCTAAAAACGTTGTTCATTTAACAATTATGTAGCAAACAGAAAAACATTTTTAAGCATGCACCTTTCAGAGCAGGGGTTGACTGGCTCCAAAGGCCCGGGCCAATTCTTCTAGAAAGGGCCCCAAAAATCAAAAATAAGTTTACGGGTATTCCCAAAGTTGTTTGTTGCATCACTTTTTTTTATACTGGCGTAAACGTTATTGGAATAGTGCTATTAATTCTAATTAGTAACCACCAGAGATGTAGGCGTAGGTGTAAAAGATTTACAAGGGAGATCTACAATCCTTAGTCCAGGTCAGCATTATTTTCACTGGAAATTTAATTCTGACGTAGGATAAGAGATGAAAGAAAATCATGCCATTGCGGGGAAAAAAATTATTGTTTTCTAGCTGAAGGACTTTTAAAGGGGGACCTCAGTGATAAATAACGGCGAATGGTATTTAGAGGGCTCACCTTTTTTATCACCGAGGCTCTGGTACCCAGGGTAGAACTTAATGAACTATCTAAGTTATTCAAGAAATATCTAAGTTATTCAAAAACATCTTGATATGTAATTTTCCAGTCAAAACATAATAGGGGTTGATGTTTTTCCGATCATTGGTCGAGCAGTCAGGTTAATTGATTGTTTGCGCAGCAACCAAGATGGTAACATCAGTAACATAGGCAGGGCTGACGAAACGTTAATGAAAGTGGGGTAAGGGGCGATATGTTTAGATTGTTCAGAGGTTAAATAAAGGCCACCACCATGGTCAGGGCAAATCTCGCATGGTTTTCGCCACGGCAGCAAATTTTTGAATTAAAAGCCAGCACAGTCAGACCACGCCAATGGAATTATGCCAAAATTTTGCCGAAGAAATACGGCAACATTTTGCGTAAGTATGTTTTATGTCCGATGTTTTATGCCTAAAATCTTTGGTGAATGAAAATATATTCTCCAACTTTTGGCAAAAGGCCCCGTGATTTTTTTTTATTTTACGTGTCTGAGGGCCCGGGTGGCAATGTCTGTTCGCCACCCGGGCCAGACCACGCATGTCTGCAGTGCTACTGGGGTTGAAGAACTAGTTCAACAGCATCGTCAGAATAATTCCATCTGTAGGGTTGTTGCAATTGAGCTCAAAGGGCATCCCAAAATGGCCACCTGATATTGGCCCCATTGCATCATGCAGTGGCGTATTGTTTATAATTCAGGTGCTGGCCAGAGTCAATTATATTCGCAAATAGTAGTGAGGGCAACCAGTGGCAGATTTCATAACAATCGTGCATTTAGTGAAGAAAGCATGAAAATTGGCATACCTATAGATTTTGACATGCTGAAAACGATGAGATCGGGACCCCACCTGTAAAGTACCCCAAAAAGCTATTTTTAGATGATGATACTCGGACCCAGTCCTCCTCAACTAATTCTACCAATTTTACACCACACTTCCATATTAAAAGCATACAGAGTTGTATAAGTGTATAATCAGGCATGAAAATGCAATAATATTGTTATTTCAAAATGAATTGCCCCCATATTCTATTTTTAGATGGGGTTCTTGGTCCCAGACCTCCAGGAAAGGTGCTGATCATTTTTCTGTAGTACCCGGGAGCGAAATACTAAAATTACTAATATCACAGAGATTAAGATCCTCATAACGGTGAAAGCAATTTCTCAACTTTCATATTAGGCCCGCAGTCTATTTTTAGAAAGAGGTACTTGGATCCAGACCTCTACTAACGATTCATCAAGCGCGAAAATTTCATTGTCAAAGGAAAATTAGTTCAAATTGAAAGTTTAAATGTCTAATTCTTCGAGGCACTGCCCATTGCACATGCACAATTGGAGGTAGAGTGCAGCACATGTCACTTGGTGAACGTAACGGCAACGCTTAACTTGCTTGCCTTGAATCATACTTTCGATTCTTCCTGGCGTGCTGATGTTGGATTTTACTAAAAGTTCAACCCAACCGCTCCCATCAAACCAATCACCAATGGTTGAGAGAAGGCACATTTCGATATGCAAGGCACCCATCATCATTAATAGCTTACCCTCACCATAAAGCTCTGGGTAGAGCCATTGCACTTGCTTTGAAATCGCGTATACTGGCTGATCCGCTGTCATTACAGGAATCTGTCCAGGATTCACATGCTGTAATATGAGCTTAACTATCTTCATTGTATGGGCAACTGTGGCCGTCGACGTGATAGACTCTTTCAGAAGTGGCAAGAGCGTTGAAAGTGTTGTCGGAAGTGCTTCGTTTCGTTCCAGCTTCTTTGCATTGTATGCCGACCAAGAAACTCTTTCGAACAAAGGAATTCCTACCTCTGAACTCTCCCAGCAGTGCAAATTTTGCAACCAGCCATTATCTTCAAGCAATTTTTGCGCGTTATTGCTATAATCTTCAGTGTTTGTTCTCTGTAGTGGATATTCCGGTATTTTCGATTTTGTTGGGCATATTTCAGTATAGTAGCTTGGCAGCTCTAAGGGAACACTGCTCTTCTCGATATCATTCTCCAATTGCAGTTGTGTCTGCCCTCTCATGATTTTCGGATGTTGGAAAATTGAGATACTGGTACCATGGAAAGCACTCAATGCTGTAGATGAAGATGGATTGTGGTCAATGTTGTCGATCGCTGCAGACGTGAACATACCATTCTGGATACTTGGTGGGCAAACTACGCCGTTTTCTCTGTAAATTTTACACAACTGTTTTGTAACCGCTAGTTCGAAAATTTGCACGCGATTGTACGGGACCCTTATTCCATGCTTTGCAAGGTTTACTACCAAGCCCTTTTTTCGCGTTTTGCTGTGTATCATCAATCCAATATAGAGAGGAAATGGTGTTTCGTCAGCTTTCATGTGCCGTATTTTTTCAACAATGCCATTATGCTTCTTTTCTTTTCTGATTGTATTAAACCGAATCAACTGAGAGATAGATGTCGCAGCTCTACTGTTGCTCAATTCACAAGGCTCCCCTCCAATCACCGAAACACCCAGGATCATTCTTACTAAGCTATAAAGTGAGGCCGGAACTGATGCTTCGTGTTTTGGTTCTTCCTTATCGTCAGCAAACATTTGTTTTCTAATTATTTTGGCTGCTCTTGCAAGGCATCTACCATCATCCTCTCCGCTAAACGAGCACGAATCGAATATTGCTGATCCCGTCTCTTCCTTCAAAGTCAAGAGTATTTCTCTTCCTTTCTTATGCTCACTCAGTTCTGGAAGTAGCTCAATAATTTTCTCCTTGAGGCGAGTGCTGTGAATCTTGCTCTTATATTCTTCAGATTCCGTAAATAATTTCGTACTCAACATCTGCTGCAGGTTTAGAAGATTTTATGGCTCGTACTCTATTTCCTAGAATGGTCAAACAGTTCTTGTGGTAACGAGCCTCAATTGCGACCAAGTCACCTTCACTGAGTCTAGCAAGAAGCTTGTCGTCCGATAACAGAATGGCCGCATCGCGAATTCTTTTATCCAAGCCAAGTGTGCGCGCATGGTGCAAGTTTTTGTCGGAATCATGCTCATCACATAATATGCACGTTGGTTGAAAATTATCTGCAGTATACTGAGATCGAGTTTTTAAAGTCACAGTGGAACTTTGTTCCTGGCTGCTTTCATCAACGCGCCTTTTTCTACATACCCTGTTGTAATGATAATTGTCGTAACGATTTCTACAACTTTTATGAAACTTTGCTTGGTATTGAACAAAATTATCTAAAAGATTCGGATTTTGGAACCTTCGCTTCAGAGATGACGGTAGCTGTCCTATCTCCTCAAAACGTCTAAGGTTTTCTATTACAGCAAGATATCCTTGACTAGCATCAGCTCTAGTAACATTCGCTGGACACACGAGCGCAGTTTGATCGACTCCTTGACACAGAAAACAGAGATTCCAGTCTATTTCTCTATCAGTCTGACATCTATCAAAGTGATCGGGTACATCCAAGAGCTCAAACCTCTTTCCGGACATGACACTTTTTGGAACCGTTCTGGCTACTTTCTGCTTACAGTCATGTCAAAATATCCCCTACTCATATCATGCCACGCGCCCCTGTATCTTGATAAGATCAGGCTTTTCTTTTTACCAGGTATCTCACTTCAAGGGTAGCGTGCTCGCGCGTTCTTAAGACAAAGGATCTTCTACATGCATCAACGCAACTGATCAGATCAGTAATTATACCACGTTTCTGGAAATTCAAAAGCTGCAACGCTTACAGATTGCTTTCAGCTGTTAACTACGGATTCAGCTTCTGTATCGCGAAAATCGAAATTGTCCATCCATTGCATACATAAAGATAAATTGATAGAAAAACTGCTCTACCCCATTCTGAAAAAGCTTTTTGGTACAATTTAATGATTTGAATGAATTCCCCTCTCAATTAACTTTTATGACTTGACGCATTGTTTTTGAAAATTTTGTAGAGGTCTGGGTCCAAGTACCTCTTTCTAAAAATAGACTGCGGGCCTAATATGAAAGTTGAGAAATTGCTTTCATCGTTATGAGGATCTTAATCTCTGTGATATTAGTAATTTTAGTATTTCGCTCCCGGGTACTACAGAAAAATGATCAGCACCTTTCCTGGAGGTCTGGGACCAAGAACCCCATCTAAAAATAGAATATGGGGGCAATTCATTTTGAAATAACAATATTATTGCATTTTCATGCCTGATTATGCACTTATACAACTCTGTATGCTTTTAATATGGAAGTGTGGTGTAATATTGGTAGAATTAGTTAAGGAGGACTGGGTCCGAGTATCATCATCTAAAAATAGCTTTTTGGGGTAATTTACAGGTGGGGTCCCGATTTCATCGTTTTCAGCATGTCAAAATCTATAGGTATGCCAATTTTCATGCTTTCTTCACTAAATGCACGATTGTTATGGCTTTTTCCCTCACTATAGGGAGAATTTTTCTTACAAAAAAGAGAAATCACACTCGCTAGAATTATTATTACCATTGCACTTCGCCACTGCCATTCAATAATTAGAGTCTTAAGGAGATTGTGATACATTCTGAAAAGCTTATTATTTCTATCAATTAGTATTAGGCTGCAGCAGTTTGTTTGCTCTACATCCAATGTTATTTAAAGGCTACTTATTCGTAGGCCCTCAGCTTTACTTCTATCTATGCTACACTAAACATAAAGAGCTGTGTTTTGGAAAGTGCTAAATACCACTGCCATTGTACATTTGTAGCGTTACACGGTTTTTATATTTATTTAGTTTTAACCTTAAGAAAAAGTGTGTTGTCTGGGTATCAAAACGAGAATCGTCACATTCTACTTTGATGAGATGTTATGCATCGCAACTACGCAAATAGTTAATTTGTTTCAACGTAGTAAATCTAAAATGCTTTCTAAAAGTACGAGATTGATATTGACCTCAAAGAAAATCAGATCAAAAATTTAACCAAAGAACAGTGGAAAAAATTGTTAGAGAAAAAATGATCATAATCATAGAGAATAATATTAAAAATAATAATAAGACTAAACTTAGATTTATCAAGGGTAGTAAATTTGAAATGAAAGAGTATCTGGGGTGTGAAGACGCGTCATCCCTGCTGAAATTAAAACTAAACATGGTTGACTTAAGAGCGAACTACAAAGGAAAGTACTCCGATTCTCTTTGCAGAAGATGTGGGGCCCATGAGGAATATATTGAACACTTATGGGATTGCCCAAGCTTTTATCAAAAACCCAAGATGGAAAAGACCTGTTTAGTTACAAATAGTTCAAAAATCCTAAAAAATATCAACAACACCCTTCAAAAATTTCCTAACAAGGGATGAAATAGAAATAAAGAGATTAGCTAAAAGTATAGCACCAGCTTGTGATACCCAGTAGTTGGGTAACTGCTCCGAAATGGAGACTTAGCTTCAATTATTATGGGACTAGGAAGTCCAAAAAAGTTCAAGTTTGTGTTCTATCAAATTTCATTTTTGCCCTTCCCACCCGAACAATGTTTGAAATGCATTTCTATTGAATA